TGTCTTCTCCAATGTCTATCACTGTCTGGATAAGTCTAGGAGCCAGACCATTACAATTTGCTTTAAAATAGTGAAAAAAAAAATCTCATTTGTCAAGAGAGGCAACACTAAATGTGTCTTAACCTTGGATCTGGTTTCTAACAGAAATCTTGGTGTGACCCACTAAGGTCATTTTTTAGTAATGGATAAAATACGGGGCAAAAATACTTATTTCTGCAATACAAATATGACAGTACACTAGAAACCACTATCTTCACAATACCCCTAATTCCTCAGGACAGGGGCACAGTGAAACGACAGGAGTCATCCACCTTCTCTGGTTTCCATGCAAGATAGAAATAGGGGAGGGACTGAACTATTTACCCTGGACTGCAAGCAGACTAAAACCTATCACTGATAGCCAACAAGCAGATAAGCACAGTAGATAAGCCACAAGCTGCATGTTGTGGCACACTCCCATAGCCCCAACAATTCTGAGACCAGGCCAGGCTGAGCTACACAGCAAGAGCCTCTTTCAAAAATGCAACAAGGGTCAACATCAGCAGCAAATAAATGAACTTGCTGTTAACCTTGAAGACCTGAGTTCAACCCGACCACAAACTCCTCCAAGTTGTCCTCTGACCTCTACGTGGGCAGACAGAGAATAAATTAAATAATGATATAAAAAATGTAATGCAAACAAATGCAGTACTATTTAGCATGCTCTGCAAAGACAGGTAACAGAATAGTGGTATATTACTCATATCAAAAGGTATGAGTGTGAGTGAAGGGAAGCTTGTGCTCTCATCAGTCCGGCAAAGATATTTGGCTGTTACAGTCAGAATTCTGGCACTATTTCGTAAATAGTTAAACATGACTAAAAACTTTAAAAATAAATATGCTGTTCCTATCTAAATTAACATATATACAGAAGAAGGAAAGGTGAAAAGTGAAAGGGCAGCAAAGACTACTCAGCAAGCCCAGGTCTTCCTTCAAGAAGCCCAGGCTTCTTCAAGCCTGACATGAGCTTAAGCACCAAGAACCCATGTAAGGAAAAAATAAAAATAAAAATAAAAAAGTTTTAAAGGCACACACATACACAAATAGTAATGGTGGTGCTGCACAACAAAATTATTTTTTTTTCTTGGCTGTAGTTGTCATTATTTTACACTGAATGTGCACTGCTTATACTGTCAGAGGAAAACAAATCTCTAGTTGGGTCCAACAGATGAATCTCTAGTCCTACCTCATATGGAATCAACAGTAAGCCTACAAATTTCCAAAGGTCCAAAGAGAACAGACTGGCTTTGGGAGGCACTTTCCCCACCACACATGAAAACCCACTGAAGCTATAGCACAAGTTCAGTAGGAAACTCTCAACTGTAGAAACATGGATAAGCACAGGGCACCTACCAAACACCCAGCAGATCCATGGGCTTGCCTGTCCTTGCCTTTAATAGCTAGCATTTTGCTGACTCCTACTGGCAGGTACTATGAAAACTTCCCCTCTGGAGTAAAGCTAATACAGTCACTTAATCATTTGTAGCAATGTCTGATAGCAGGAAATATAAAAACAGAGACAACCACTATGTATCTTATATCCAGCTTTTAACATTATCCCAAAGATGAAAAGGTTTATTAGCTAGGTCCCTAACCCATTCCCTCATCATCTAAAGTGTCATTTTCATGGTTTCAATAACCTTCACTAACAGAATATTCCAGAAATAAACAATTCATAAGTGTTCAGCTGCACACTGCTAAGTACCATGATAAGGTCTGCTTGGTAGTTTGAATAAAAATGGCCCCCATAAGCCCATAGGAAGTGGCACTACTAGGAGATGCGGCCCTGTTGGAGGAAGGGTATCTCAGTTCTCTTTCTACTGCCTGACAATCCATATGTAGAAAACTCAGCTTCTCCAGCACCATGTCTGCCCGCATATGCCATGTCCCGCCATGATGATAACGGTCTACACCTCTGACTGTAAGCTAGCCCCAATTAAATGTTTTCCTTTATGAGAGTTGCTATGGTCATGGTGCGTCTTCACAGCAATAAAACCCACACTGAGACATGTACCATGATGAAATCTCACGGTCCCACCGAGCACCTGAATCATCTTTGTATCTAGTATAACTTGTATACACTACCTGCACATTAATCACACAGTAGCATCTTGGCTATTACATTCATTATCAAAGCATATCAGTGCTTATACTCAAGTAACTCCAATTTTACTTAGCAATGGTTCCAAGGCACAAAGTAAATGATGATAATTTGGATATGGCAAAGAGAAGTCACAAAGTATTTCCTTTAAGTAAAAAGACAAATTCTCAATTTATTGAAGAAAAAAAATTTCTATGCTGAGGTAACTAAAATTTATAGTAAAATATTCTGAGAAAATATATTCACATTTTTATAATAGTGTCCTATTATAATTTTTCTATTTTAAAATATTACTGTTTTTTTTTCATGGGGGGTAGATTTTCAAGACAGGTTCTCACTATGTAGCTCTGGCTGCCCTAGAACTCACTCTGTAGGCCAGGCTGGCCTCAGACTCAGAGATGTACCTGTCTCTGCCTCCCGAGTGCTGGGATTAAAGGTGTACACAACCACGCCCAGCTATTATTGAACTCTTAATGTCCCTAATTTGCAAATTAAACTTTATCATAGATATATGTACAAAAAAAATCATAGCATGTCTAGAGTTTCAAAAATCCATTGGGGATATTCCAGATAAAGAACTGGCAAAAGGTCAGGCATGATGGCACACACCTTTAATCCCAGTACTCAAAAGGCAGGTGGATCTCTGAGTCTGAGGCCAACCTAGCCTACATAGAGAGTTTCAAGACAACCAGAGTGACACACACAAAGAAACCCTGTCTCAAAAATGAGATAGAGAGACAGAGAAAGACACAGACACACAGGCAGAGTGATACTAAACTATTATTACTAGAATAACACCATTAGGCTAGCTACTAGGTCTACAACCTTATCCTACACACTGTGGTGAACACAGAGGGACGAGGGGTACTCGTCCCCCTCACAGCATTCAGGTCCCTCCTTGGGAGAAATGTTAAACAGATCAGAAGCATGTAGATAAAAGAAAGGCTAATAGTTCCTTTTTTCCCCGACTGAGGCAGCAGTGGTCGTCACCATTCTCTGAGCTTTGCCATGCCACCCAAGGACGACAGGAAGAAGGATGCCGGAAAGTCAGCCAAAACAAAACAAAACAAAACAAACAAACAAAAAAACAACAAAGACCCAGGAAATAGTCTGGTGGCAAGGCCAAAAAGAGTAAGTGGTCCAAAGATAAAGTTCGGGACAAGCTCAACAATCTAGTCCTGTTTGACAAAGCCACATACGACAATTGTGTAAGGAAGGTCCCAACTAGAACTTATTACTCCAGGCGTGGTTTCTGAGAGACTGAAGATTCGTGGTTCCCTGGCCAGGGCAGCCCTTTGGGAGCTACTTAGGAAAGAACTTATCAAACCGGTTTGAAAGCACAGAGCCCAAGTAAGTTACACCAGAAACACCAAGGCTGGAGATGCCCCAGCTGCTGGTGAAGATGCACGAACAGGTTCAATCAGCTGTGCATCTGGAAAAATACAACTTCATTAAATCAAAAAAAGAAAGGCAGGCTAGTGACTAAGTGCCTGTACAAACACTGCATGCACGTAACAGAAACCCTGGAGAGCCAAGTGCACATGTTCACTCCACATCTGAAGAGAATTCCAGTAGCATGAGGTGGGAGACTAGAATTCCAGGCATGGTCACCAACACAACAAAGACCCTGAGAAGAAAAAGAAAAACTGAAATAAAAACTACACTGGGGAATAGTAAGAGTAAGGAAGGAGAAAGATTTGGGCAGGCTGCAGACTTCCGTAAAGGATCCTTTGTCAGATTAAGAGCATTTGTGAGAAAAGCCTAAATACCAGACATTTTGCTAAATGTGAGGCTCCTAGAGGTGCAGCTCAGCTGGCAGAGTACAGGCCTTGCATACACAGACCCTGGATTCAATTCCCAGGACTACATACACTATGGTGCTCACATAAGAGATCCCCAGACTCCTAAGACCCAAAGGTCTCATGGAAGTCTAGGCACTGAAATGGGAGACACAAGGCCTCATGTGACTGCCGGTCTGCGTCAGCAGACAACAAAAAGCTTCACCATGTTCCAGCTTGTGCATGCAACACAAGAGAACCTAAATTAAACATACTGACATCTAAGCTATTACCTATTTAATATCAGCTTGCCAAAAAATAGTGCTTTTCAACCATTTTACCGAATGGTCTTTTACTGTCTAAGAACTAGGAAGAAAATGTTCTTTATGACTATAACTTTAAGTTTTTAATTATATATGCATATGCTTATGTGCATGTCAAGGGGGCGCACGCACACACAAGCACCAGTATGTAAATCAGAGGATAACACATGCCTTTACCACTGAGCCATCTCACAGGCCAGCTCTCACCTCTTTTAACATCAGATTCCAACAGTATCAAATGTCAAAAGTATTATTGTTCAAAGAGCTGAATAAAATTCATATGACTCCGGAGTGTGTAAAGTCAAGTAGGTAGGAGATCGTGGCACTGACTGAGATTGCTCCATGGGACTCACTATGGAAACAGCCTTTGAGTGTTCCTGTGCTGACAGCACAACAGAGCAAAAGCTAGGTCAAAGGTAACCTGGTCACTTGGAACTTCGCCATCACATATTTTAATAGATCAAGGACTAATGTGAGTTTTTCAATGTTCTCAGAGAGATAGCTCAAGACTCTCTCATACAAGAATCTCCAGCTCCTTTAACATTTCATTAGTTAACTCAACTATATGCTTTACATAGAAAATTAAAAGAATAATTTGGAAAGAAAGGATACCATTCACTCCTCCCACGTATGCATTATTTCAACTCTCGAGAAATCACTTTCTGAAAGCTCATTTGGTCAGTGCTCCAATGTAATATGCCTAGAGATTTGGGGTGAATTTTCTCTGGGCAGCAACAAGAGAAGTTTGACAGCCCTTACATATCTGGAAGGTTCCTCTTGGTTCTGGTCGTTCATGTCAGCAGGGACAGTCCGAGTGGCCAGTGGTCCCTCTGCAAAAGGCTTTGGTAGCTGACCTCTGAACTCTGATGGAATGAACTGAAGCTGCCAACTGTCAGAAACACAAATGAGAAGAATGAAAAAACACAAGGCAGTAATATTGCTAAACACATTTGAAACAAACAACCCTTAACCCCAAATCATAAGAAAAACATTCCACTTAAAGAAAACATGATTTCTGCTAAAACTTCTGTCAGGGAGCAGAGGCAGAGGTCATGAGTCAGTCTGAAGCCATCAAAAAATTTACAACTAAAGGTCTCTCAATCTCTTTACTCAAGACTTAGTTTCAAAGCTTGTAAGTAGATGGCCAACCACAGAACAAGGAGAAGAGTGTCACAATGTCACTAACTCCCACACAATCAGAAACTAGTCAGAATTAAAGCCAACTTAGGTGCAAAGAAAGGTAATGGCACATGCACTAAGAAAACACTAGAATATTATTTTTGTCTGAATAATCCTCAAAAGGCCTTTCAGCTATGAAACTGTCTCAAATATAACAGGCAAAGGTCAACATTTAAAATACAAGTTTCACCTTAATCCTTAATGACTGACAGAAAATATTCATATGAAAAAAAAATTACTATTTTACCAGGTGAGGAGCTGCTGAAATCAGCAACATTACTCATCTTAACCAGACTTCTTTTTCACTTAAAATGGACCAAATAGGAAAAACACAGAAGTTCAGGGTTGTATATTGTCACATCTAACACAGGACGCTGGTACACTGTAATCACAGCTCTCCCTACTGCCTATATGAATCAGTGTGAAAATTTACTGTTGAATGGAAAAAAAACCTCCTTTCTAGAGCCACTCTTCTTGCCAGGGTCTCTATGCCACTATTAGGAGCAGCTTCATGTCAACTGCAGAAGGAGAACATGCACCCTCAAGAGGCAGGGTCTGGATAAAGTGCTTGCTCTTCCAGCATGAGCACCTGATTATGGATCTGCAAATAAAAGCTGGGTATGGCAGCATGCACCCGTCACAGCACAGCAGAGAGGAGACACAGGAAGAGCCTGCAGGAGCTCCAGGGACATCAAGAAAAAGACCCTGTCTCAAAAAATAAGACAGAGCTGGGCACGGTGGTACACAGCTTTAACCCAGCTTTAACCCCAGGACTTGGAGGCAGAGAGGGAGGTGGATCTCCTGTGAGAAGAGACCAGCCTGATCTGTGTAGCAAGTACCAAGTCAGCCAGGGCTATGTAGAGACACCTTGTCTCTAAAACAAAAAAAGGCAAAGAGCAATAGAAGATGATACGTGACATCAACTTCTGGCCTCTACACATGAACATGCAAGAGCATGTGTGAACACATATGTACACACACATACAGAGGGAGAGATTACTAGCATAAGCCTAGGGGCAAACTGCCTTCACAAGGTCTTAGAGGCTGTGACGAGAAGTGCAGGTCCTGGGTCATGACCCAGGGGAAACACGCCTGAAGGACAGCCAAAGCTGACCTCTGGCCGCAATACACACTTACACATTGCACATATGCCCCCACATTTACCTCCAAAGAAAAAGGTTTCAAACCCCCCAAAACAAACAAACCCTAGCACAATCTTGCCACAGAATTGCTACTTTTTGATGTAAATTCCTGGGAAATGTGGCTGAAGAGATGGCTCAGAAGTTAAGAGCACTTGCTGTTCCTGCAGAGAACTTGAGTTCAGTTCCCAGCACCAACATGGAAGCTAACAATTTAACTCCAGTTTCAAAGGATCTGATGCACGAATTTGGCCTCCTTGGGCATCAGGCATGCATATGGTACACATATGTACATGAAAGCAAAACACTCATGCATGTAAAAATTAAGAATAAGTGAATTTTTAGAACTAACTAACTAAATAAAACGCTGAGATTTAGGGACTGGAGAGACGGCTCAATGGTTAGCGTGCAAGCTGTGAAAGCATGAGGGCTGGAGCTCAGGTACACACCCATGTCTACACACCAGGCATCCCACGCTGAAACCCCAGCACCAAGGCAGGCAGAGACAGGAGGGTCCCCACTTACCCACTTCTAGCCTAATGTGGTGGGTTGGGGTGGGGGGCAGCAAGCTCCAGGTTCAGGGAAAGACTCTGCCTCAAAGGAACAGCTACAGAATGATACACGAGGACACTCTATGGCCACCTCTGACATTTTTTTTTTCTTGAGCACACAGATACATACACAAACACACACACACAAACACCATCCACACATGCACAAATCCTTTGACTTAAAGGAAAACTTACTTATCAGGCAAAAGGAAGCTGCTGGGAAATCGATACCATTCTTTCCCCACACAAACGTTCACAGGTCTGCCTTCTGGGACAGTGTGGATGGTTGGGTCTGTGGCAATTCGGTAAAATTCTGGATACAAATCAAGGGGCCCATGATATCCTAAAAAGGAGAAGAGTTCATAAAAGCCAAAGAGATGGTTCTAACTTTTAATTCATGTTAGCACCCTATTATAACCTGCATGAAATTTAACGAGTATGGAGGCCCACAGCAGCTCAACAGGAAGCCTGCTCTGCACAGTGCAGCCGTCTCTCTAGCTGGGACAATTGCCACAGTGTAGGCTTTAACAAATGTAACTTGCTTTCTTGTTCTTTCTATACCGTTTTATCCTCTAAATTTTCTACTCTTTGGGCATATTTTACTATTACAACCCCAGTAACGATTATTAGTAAATACACAGCCATGAGAACTTAGCTCCAATCTAGGCTTCATTACATTAGTAGAAGCTATTTAAAAAGAGGGGAAAGAGGCTGGAGAAATGGCTCGGCAGTAAAAAGGACTGGTTGCTCTTTCAGAGGTCCCAGTTCAATGATTCTCAGCACCTACATGGCGGCTCACAACTGTCTGTAATGCCAGTTCCAGAGGATCCAATGCCCTCGCTGGCCTCCACAGGCATCAGGTGCCCATGTGGTTCCTATACATTCAGACAAAATATCTATATCCAAAAATATTTAAAACTGAAAAAAAGAGGGCAAATCAATGCTACTGGAGGGAAAAATGTGTTGTGACATAAAAAAGAAATAGCAATCTCCTTTTTTGTCCTGAGGTATGGAGGTCCCATCCCACTCATTATCAGGTCCATATTCCTTCCCTTTGGGGACAGCCTTTTCTCAGCATAAGCCAACTACATGCCACAAGTAAATCCTAAGGACAATTTCTTTGTGAATATGGGTGAACACACTCCCAGCACATCTACCTCTGAACAGAGCCACAGAGCGTGAGAATGACAAAAGTCCAAACAGGAAAACTGTTCCTAATGCCAGCCAGCTGGATGTCACAGTGTAATGCTCCAGGCGATATCGTTGAAACACAAAGTGGTAACATTTCTAGAAGGAAAGGCAACTATATTAATAAAGAAGATACATAGCACCACAGAAACAATACACACAGCCAAACACCATATAGAAACAGAGACAA